CTGTAAAAATGTAGAGTAGTAATTACAGAACAAGATTCATAACTTAAACATGTTATTCTCAAAAAATAATCCACACACATCCATTACTTAATTGTCCCGTAATCTGTTTTTCGTGAAATTGTGTGTTACTGTGTTTTTCTGCCTCCTTGTAATGTCCTCCATAAGCTCCTGAACCTCTTTTTTCCCCTTTAACTACCTTTGTTTGGAACAGTCAACACGTTTGTTATGTGCGCTGCTCTATGCACACTACAAATCTCATAATCCATCTTGGGAGCGAATAAGAGAGGGTGGCTAACTCCCTAAATCAGTGGGACTATCAGGGGTGTATTTACTTCAAGTCAAACAAGGCATTTGCCTAGGGCGGCATTTTTCAGGGGGGCAGCACTGCTCCCCAGAAGAAGGGACACACACGGCATGGGGACTAGGTGGGATCCAAGAGAGGCTGCGGCCTGCACGACGGTGTATGCATAGCCTGACCCTCATTCCAGGTGATATCTAGAGTTGTGAAGGTAAGTGTCTTTCTCTATTTCTCTGGTGGGGTGGCAGGCGTATGGAGGGTGGTGGCAGTGGAAGGCTTTCTCGGGTGGGGGAGTGGTGTTGGTTGGTGTCAGGCTCTCTCTGCGCAGGGGGGGGCAGCCAATTTTTGTGTTGCCTACGGCAGCATAAGACCTAGGTACACCTCTAGGGACCATGGAGAACAGATGTAGCCACCCTCTAACACGAAGATAGATCACAACAGCAGGTAAAAAAGGGGAATTTGGAGATTTAGAGGCTGAGAGCAATATAGAGTATTTTTTAGAGTTAAGAATACATACATGAATAAAATTTTATTTTTTTAAACCAGAGTTTAGTGTCACTTTAAGGTTTCTTCACCTATCTGTTCTGGTTTGATGCATTATATGGTGAGTTGCTGTGTGCCAATGCATCAGAATGGATTAAAAAAAACAACAAAACACTGAACCTGAACCTTTTTTCCGACACAACACTAGTAGTGAGTTACTGTGCATTGCCGTTGTGTGTTAGAGTACCACTGATTTATTCGAGCATGTTATGTGCCACATTGCTCAGTTGTAAAGCCAGCCATATAAAAAGAACAAGGGAATAGTGGTTATCAAACCTTTATACCTTTCTGTGTTGATTTTCATGTGTAATCAACAATGAAACATCTTTATGTGCTGCCCTTGTCATCAATAAGTCCTATATTGAACATCGATGTATCAATAAATGGACAAGGCACATCAATGCATTGCACAGACATGAACTAACACCAAGTAAAACAATGGCTATTCACGTTCATTAAAATGTGTGCATAAAATGTCTAGGTGTGAATGTGCTCTTGATGGATCTAGATTCCTTTTTTTCCACAAAAAATTACTAAGGCTAGTTTCACACCTTTCTATAGACATTTTGTGTGTGTTTTATGTACCTTATTATCAGAAGAGATGAATTTTCATGTGCTGCTTTTGTTATTATCAGGTCCGATATTACACATTAGTGCATTAAAAGACAGACAGGGCAAGTTAAAGCAACATACCAAGATGAGTGCCCATGCAGGATCTGGTGCCCCAAGCAACATTACAGACTGGCCCAGTTCTTTGTCCAGGTATGGTCCCCACAATGCTCAACTGAGGAGTCAATCCGTCCAGAAAGCTGCAGGAGAGAGCAGCAGTGGCTGTGAAGCAGCTAGAGCTTGATAGAAGAATGTGGAATCTCCATCAAAATATGGGGCAAATTTCTCTAAGTGGAATGGACATGTATCACCTAAGGACAGTTTCAAAAACTGAGGATAGCTGGGAGTGGAAGGAATTATATAGAGGATGTTTTAAGCAATTATGGCCTTGGAATGTATTTTAATAAAATCACAATTTTGTTCTTTCTTATCCATTGAGAGATGCAGGAAGTCTAAGATCTTCCAGTTCTACTGCTGTCTACAGATGAAATGCAGTAGTATAGCCCAAAGGTTTAGGTTTTCCTGATTTCCTCAATGGACAAGAAAGAAAAGTAGGTTACTGTAAGGCATTCAAAATTGAACTCCAAGTATTTTTTCGCAGTTACATTGGACCAAGGCGATCCCTGTGGAAGCAGAGAATCACTTTAGTAGCCCCTGCTATTATAGTGATGATCCTTGCTTTCTTCTGGGTCCTGTGCCAAGTGGCTGCCCTCCTGCAACGCAATAACGCCATTTAGAGAACACCTTGCATTATTCTCTCTGATTGGACGAGGTGGTGATCATGAGGTCATCACCCCACCTCTCCACCTTGTCCAATCAGAGAGACAGGTGAAAAAAATGCATGAGTTCTTTGAATGGCACGGAACCCAGAAGCATACACTTTTTTCCAGGCACCCTTCCATGCCATCATGTCCTGGTTCTCTACAGCATCTGCTGATGTCACCAAGATCGATGTTTAAAAGGCAAGCAGTATTGCAATTAGCCTTTCTCTTGGTGTATCCAGGATGGCGAGGCTACAGTATGGATCTGCAAGTGAAGCAAACATGGTTGCCCTATGACCAATATCTTAGAATAGAGGGCTTCTCATCCAGCCTCTGAAGGCCTCCCCTCTGTTAACAGGAAAGGCAAGTTTAACTAGACAACATGACAGCAGCCTAATAAACTCAAAAGCATGGGTGCCTATTAGTTGCACCCATTTCAGAAATGGGGTCCCTTGATATTGAGGGCAGAACGGAATCTGAAAAATCTAAAAAACAAAATAGACTATAGAGGCACACAGATTTCAGTACAATGAGTAGTCTTTATTTTCATGTGTTTTCCAAGATCTGGCATCTTTCTAAAGAAATCACTGCTTAGGCTAATTTGCCTCCCTCTGGAAAATTCTCTTTCCTATGCTCAGTGGTAATGGATGACATCAACCATCCCTGGAACTTTCATCTAATATATGTATTTACTCCTTCTGCTGAATGCACCTGTACCTGGCTGGACAGTAATGCACATATTTGTCACACAAATAAAGAATGTATCCAGTCCTGCTTACAATGGTCAGTTAGACACATATTTTACTCGGTTTCATCTTTCTATACCAGTAAAAACATTCTTTGCAATTGTCAAAAAAACCCCTAATGTTTCTGTTTTGTTTTCCATGATGCTTTCATTCCCAAATTTTCAAGGATACTTATATAAAACTTGTTCACCGGCATCTTGAGGGAATTATGTAAATATGAAAGCGTGGCTTACAGGGGTGGAACATAACCCGTTCATGTACTGATATGAGGTTATGGAATGATAATTGTGTTATTAAACTTGATGAAAAAGTTAGGTGAGGAAGTATATTGAGCTCAGTTTTAGAAAGATTTAGCTTTAGAAGTGGGGTGTCATCCATACTGTTATGTCAGTTCTACTTTATTATAGGTGAGAACTTTGTGGAAGAGGTTTTCCAGTTGTAGAATGAATAGTATATTAAATAGCAGTAGAATTAAAAAGAAATATACTGTATAATGCACAGATATCCAAAACAAGAAACAGAGAAAGCTATAAGGCTGACTGCAGTTTAAAAAGAACAGAAATCTAAATGGTACTAAGACAAATAAAATACAACTATAAACATGCTACACTTTACAATTAGTCAGGTAGGAAAAAAATCTTTATGTACATGATAATAAGGGTATGAAGTACATGAAAAAAGCCTAATATATGCAATCAAATTAAATTTTGAGGGCACACCAATCACTAACAATAAAAAAAAAAATTACAAAAACATTCAGGGGTAGTTTTTTTAATGATAGTTTTTCTTGCATTGAAAGTTGCTGATATATATTTATATTCTGTTGATACTGGACTTAAATTGTGTCTAATCCCAAAACTTTTTTTTTTTGGATGGAGTAGGAATCAATAAGAACCCATCAGGTGTCCTCTCTGGGAAAATCCATTCTATTTATCCTGGTGACCATTATTAGATATAGGGGAAATATACTGATGAGGATACTTGTCAACACTTAGGGGTCTATTTATAAAAGATAAAAAAAAATTTGCATGAATGTCAAAGGCATTTGTGCAAATTGTACAAAAAACCCATTATTTTTTCTAAGAGATTATTGCCTGTATTGTCAATTCCATCTAGTGGCCAAAATGTGATATAGTTTTCTGAAATACCTCAATAAGAAAACACTTCATTTCAGCCACTACCTTGAGCTGATGATACAGACACTAATTTATCAGAAAAAATAAAGAACATTTCATTTCAGTCAGCATCACAATGCTTTTGACATTTGTGCAACAAATGTTTTATAAATCGACCCCTTAGCCTGTTCTCCTAAAGGAAATCTATCCTCATGCTGAAAAGTTTTCCTCTAACTTCCAGTCCTATGGAGACAACTGTCTGAGGGGATTTACCCTCAATTTTTGGAGATTTCATCTCATTTTTCTCTTGCGTATCCTTTACAGGAAGACACAGAAAAAAAAAAATCTGACTGATGTTTTAAATCCCCACTCTGGACAAAATGTCCCCACAATCCCTCCCTTTCACCCTCCTCTAACCCATCCTGCCAGGCCTAGTGGGTTACTTACCTTGTGAAACCAGTCCAGGTCCCACACTTCCACTGTTTATGTGTAGGCAGACCACTCTAGCACTGCAATAGTCTCCTGAGATTGCCGATTGCCACCCCACCCCCCCCCCTTCCCATTTCCCTTCACTGATATCAGCTTTCTTGATCCTGAGAAGACCCCCTTGCTAGCCACCCAACAGAACTGTCCACGTCATGCATGCAGTGACAAAAGGACCCATGCTTGAAGTAAACAGAAGTGGAGAAGACTCTAGCCAGAGCATCATATGACAGCTCTTACAGGTAAGTAAAAAGGTCTTTTAAATAGGGTTGTTATTTTTTTAGTACAGCAGTTAGTTATAGGCTGGTGGGCAAGGGATTATATTATCCTGGAATGGGGGGCGTTAAACTTTTCCGACTATATTCAAAATTAAAGAAGTTTAAACTACAAAGATACATTATTATAAATAAACCTTTTTAAATATATGGACATCTCTTGGTAGGTCTTAAGCAAAGGTGGTCAACTGCACTTGTAACCTTTCCATTCTTGCAGGAAGAAGAGCCACCATTTCCTTAGTAAGTTCCAACTCGGTTTCCACTGATTTCACAGCTTCCTCATCAATTGCACAGTAATCTACTAGGAATGTATAGTAATTTAGAGACGTTTGCATGTTCTCCAGTTGTTTCTTAGGATCACTGGAAATTAGCTTTCCATAGAGGCGTGCAATGTGGAATTTGGCTACCAAAGCAGGACGGAGAACATCCTCTTGGAGCTTCTCAGGGAACTTCTTATCTGGGCTTCGTAGCGAATCCAAAAACATCTCATAAAATTTGATTGCAGATTGTGCCAGGCTGTTGATTTTTTTGATTGTGTGAGTCCATCTAGAGTCCATCTCATCTAGCTTATTACCAATTGCTACTTTTAAATCCATCATCTCATAATATGTGTCAGCCAACTCAAACTGAAGCTGTCTACAAATTAGGAGATAGAACTGTGGGTTTAGCTCCTTACATAGTGGTTCCAACATATCTATCCTACGTTTGTGCATTTTACAACGCCGCTCATAGTCTTCCTCAAAGAAAGCCAGAACCTTAAACAGAACACTGTGGTCCTGGATAACTTCAATGTGATCTGTAACATGTCCGTCCAGCTGAAAGTATTCTTTGGCTTCGTTTATATAATTTTGCCCCACTAGAAAAACCTCCCTGGCTTCTTTGAAGTCTAGAGGAAGAGAGCATTCAACTTTTTCTTCAACAGCTAAAATGGAGTCATATATGTCACTTGATCCAAATAGGACAGCCTTCTTCCTGCCCTTCTCCTTCTCATCTTCTTCTTTTCTACGTTTAGCTTTAAGTTCTTCTTGAAGCTCAACATCAAGTTCACCTATGCTGTCCTATTGAAAAAAAAAAGAAAAGTGGATCATAAATTTTAGAATGTAAAGAAGGAAGCCACCATCTGTAACAGACATACCTGTTAAAAAAAAAAATCAATCCATGTGAAATAAAAAGCTACTTGTAACTAGCAGTCTATATTTTTATTATGAGATTTTTACATTTCTTAAGTGCTACACAGACACTTGAATCATCACAATTATCTAAAAGTATACAACACATTGTTTTTTAGGGAGTTTTGGGAACCTTGTATTTAAAGCTGTATCCACCAATGGGCATGAAAGTACCCCACAATCTTCTCTCCTCACTCTTCTTACATATGACTCCTAGGCCTATGGAAACCTCATTTACAGGAAAAGCCAACAAGCAGTGTTGGAATCAGATCAGACAAAAGATTCCATTCAAAACTATATGCTGATTCTTGTATGGTCTTCCTTCTTTGTAAGGTATTGTATATCCAGGCTACTGCAGCTAGTTGCCTTTTGTACATATAAAACTTTCTATTATCTTTTAGTCTAAAATGAATTTGTTAAATTATTTGCTAATACAGGAAATAATATCAGTTACCTCAAGTTTTTTACGTGCATCCTGCAATAAATTGATACAATATTTCACCCAGCATCTGGCTATTTCAGCTTTTTTTTTTGTCTGAGTTGATCAAGGCGCTCCTGTTCAGCTTCATCTGTATAAAAAATATAAAAGGAAATGAAACAACATATTATGAAACTCAACCTTAGCTAGAAGACATTAAGAATAATGCAAGGGTTCACCATTTCATTTAGAATTCAGAAGTCAGCAGACTAAATCCAGTTTACAAAAAGCAATCAGGGCATCAATTTACATTAGTCACAATAGAAAGGCTATAATCCATCATGCAATCTGGCTTCAGCTACATATGTTATCTGCCGCCTACTTCAGAGGGACAATAACACAAGACAACTAACACAATGATTCGGGGAAAAAAGTGGCAGGACTCAGAATCTGAAAGCGGCTATAAAGGCTCAAGGTTTTTTACCTTCATGCATTCTATGCATGAAGGTAAAGAACCTTCTCTGTGCAGTAGACCCCCTGCCCACCCCCCAATAGTCACCTAAGTCCCCTCTTGATCCAGGGATGTGTACTGGAGTCTCGGCTATGCCGGGTCTCCCTCTCCTCATTGGCTGAGAGTAGCAGAAGACATTGGCTCCCATTGCTGTCAATCACAGCCAGTGAGCCAATAAGAAGACAGAGGGCGGGACTGAGCCACGGCTCCGTGTGTGAATGGACACACAGAGCAGCGGGTGCCTCCATAGCTGCTTGTTGTGGGGGCACCCGACAGGAGGGAGGAGCCAGGAGCGCTGGTGGGGGACCTGAGAAAAGGAGAATTGGGGCTACTTTGTGCAAAACCACAGCACAGAACAGGTAAATATAGACATGTTTGTTATTAAAAATAAAAAAAAATGAGGCCTTTAGTATCACTTTAAGCTGGCTATACTGTACATGTACTGAAAACCAGCCAAAATACGGAACATATGTACTGCTGTCTATGCAACAGATGTCTAATGACCAACTTCTGTTGAATGGTCCTACTGGAGATCCAGCATTCAAACAGGGCTGACCTGTGTATTCTGGGGGTGGGGGTATTCACATTGTTTGTGTGGATGCGACGACCTGCGAGATTGTTTTGTTTACCCTACTGGTTAAAAAAAAGAAAAAAACTCTGCATGGAAAAACTATTCATATATACCCTGCTATAGAGGGGGGAGAATCAGGATTAAGATGGTAGTGCAAACATAGAATCTTTAGGAGGGAAGGGGGTCAGGCGGTGATGGAAGGATTGGAATATGCAACACAAAACGTCAAACACTTCCCAAATGGTGAATGTGAGCGGACATTATACACAATTTATACAAGCAGAATACATTACCAAACTGAGAACATACCTTCTTGAGCAGCTTCAGGGGAAGGAGTCTGTCCAGCTTTGCTAAAGATAACATTTGCAGCAGCAAGACAGTGCCTGGATTCCATGTAGCATTGCTGTGTATTATAACAGAACATTCATTCAGAAATAATAAAAACTTTGTCAGATGGGCTATTTAAGGGGATTGGGACAGCTAATATTGAAAATATCTAGACAGGCAGTTAGCAGGATCCCATTTAAGGGAAAAAACATCATCTACCCATCTATATCTCTAATATATATCCTCTTTTTGTACATTGATGTTGAATCAATTAACCCATGCCCTCTCATTTACAGTTTATGTAGTGCCTACTCTCCCTACCAATTTTACAAATAGTAGACCTCTAAAAATTGGCTAGGATGTTCAATTGCATGTGTTCACTGGTGTGTAAAAGACAGAACCATGGACAACCAACTGCTGATGCTACAAAATAGACTAAGGGCTCAGGTACGTGGATGTACAGAAGACTCAGATATGACCACATGCACACTGGACATTTCTAACGCTGATCTTAGGGGCATCTGGTGTACTTTTGTTTTCTGCCTCTAAACGCACCTGCATGTTAGCCTATAAGTTCATGTACACCTAGACCAGGGTTTGAAAAGGCCGCTCGCCAAATGCGAGGACAAATTCCTCTGTGGCGAGCGGTGAGCACAAATGAAGCATGGAGCGACTGCACCTGCGCTCCAAGCCTCATTGTGAAGCCGAGTTCCGGTTTACAACTTCTGGTTTCCGGCTTCTGCGGCACCACCGCCGAGGGGACAGGTGCAGGAGAGGTCCGCTCTCCTCCGCTGAGAGGAGACACCCTCTCCACTGCCGCGGGGGACTGGGGGGGACAGTAAGTACTGTATACAACATTTCATATCACTATAATGGAGTACAGGGGAGCTGGGATATACATTACTGTGTACACGTCATATCACTATAATGGAGTACAGGGGAGCTGGGATATACATTACTGTATACACGTCATATCACTATAATGGAGTACAGGGGAGCTGGGATATACATTACTGTATACATGTCATATCACTATAATGGAGTACAGGGGAGCTGGGATATACATTACTGTATACATGTCATATCACTATAATGGAGTACAGGGGAGCTGGGATATACATACTGTATACATGTCATATCCCTATAATGGAGTACAGGGGAGCTGGGATATACATTACTGTATACATGTCATATCACTATAATGGAGTACAGGGGAGCTGGGATATACATTACTGTGTACACGTCATATCACTATAATGAAGTACAGGGGAGCTGGGATATACATACTGTATACATGTCATATCACTATAATGGAGTACAGGGGAGCTGGGATATACATACTGTATACATGTCATATCACTATAATGGAGTACAGGGGAGGGGGGATATACATTACTGTATACATGTCATATCACTATAATGGAGTACAGGGGAGCTGGGATATACATTACTGTATACATGTCATATCACTATAATGGAGTACAGGGGAGCTGGGATATACATTACTGTATACATGTCATATCACTATAATGGAGTACAGGGGAGCTGGGATATACATTACTGTATACATGTCATATCACTATAATGGAGTACAGGGGAGCTGGGATATACATTACTGTGTACACGTCATATCACTATAATGAAGTACAGGGGAGCTGGGATATACATACTGTATACATGTCATATCACTATAATGGAGTACAGGGGAGGGGGGATATACATTACTGTATACATGTCATATCACTATAATGGAGTACAGGGGAGCTGGGATATACATTACTGTATACATGTCATATCACTATAATGGAGTACAGGGGAGCTGGGATATACATTACTGTGTACAGTTTTTTATTTTGGACTATTTATTCTAAAGAAAAATGTAATTTCATAAGCTATAAGGGGTCGTGGTTGGGGGGCGGGCCAGGGGTGGGGTTTGGGGTGGGCCGGGGGTGGGGTTGGGGCGGACCTAGGCATGGTTGGGTAGGGCAACTGGTGGAGAGTAAGTTTTGTGACTGGCTAGTAGGTCTGGACTCGAAATTGTAACCCCTGACCTAGACATTTGGAGGAGTCCAAAGGCAGGGGTGTTTAGAGGTAGGAAAAAAAACAAACAAACACTGCCAGCACATCCAGGAGCAGTGTCATTTTTGCAGAAAAAAAAAACTTACCGCATGTAAACGCTTCTAAACGCACATCAATCCAAGGCGCATTTAACACCTGAGCATTTATTAATTTCAATGTCTGGAAAAAAAAAATACTATTACTGCCACTGAAATTAATTAACAAGCGCTTGACACACAAGTGTCGTGTTTTTTTCTTGCCAAAACACCACTGCCAGGACAAAAGGAGAGATGGCCAAAGTGCCCAGTGTGCATGAGGCCTATGCAGTTTGCTTTCAGGTGCTTCTGCATTGCTCTGACTTGATTCTGAGTTGTTCAGTTTACCATTGCATAAGGAGTTCGCTGCAAGTCATTTCTGAGTTGTTTCAAGTTTCTTTTGTATGTGCAGTGAATTATAGGAGAGAGAAAAAGCAGTTTAAATGCAAACAAAAGCCTGGTACATAGGTCTTTATGCTCACAACAGCAGAAATGATTTAGTAAAGATCATCTTTGGATGTACAAAGAAAAATATTACAAACAACAGCCCTTACACAAAAGAAACTAAACCAGATCTGCTAAGCTTGTTTTTATGTCCAAGGTACACAACCCCTACACAGAATAATTCCAGAAAACACATTTTTGGGAGTTTTTCTAAATTTCTTGTTACAGTTTGTAATAGTGTTGGGGTAGTTTTCAGAAACATGACCAGCTGTTTGAGTTGCCCTCAGTAATGCAGCCAAATTCAAAGCAATTTGGGATACCACTCAGGCCCAGAATTTTTAGGATGAAAAAGTCATTAACATGGAACCACATTGTATCTGAGCGCCACAAACAAAAACACTATTGAATTCATTATTAATATTCAAAGTAAACTCCCCCATCAATGTCTCTATTCTATATTTTGCTCAGAAATCACTTTGAAAAACACCCCCTAGCATTTCTGGCCATGGCCACCTTGAATAAGGGCAGATTATTTATGTAGCATTTACAGGGGTTAGACAAAAAATGGAAACACTACATGATTTGCAGGTGTGAAAGTTGATGACAAGTTTCGCATTGATGTAACATTCTTTTGCTCCTGCTGTGTGATGAGACACCTAGCTAACCAGTGGAAAGCCTCACTTTCGTTGTACACTGCTAGTAATACGAAGTCATGTCAGCTCTTACTGAGCTTCAAAGAGGGCAGGTTTTGGTGCTCACTTAACTGGTGCCTCTGTGACTGAAGTTGAAAATTTGCCGTGTCGGGAGGAACAGTATGAAAGGTTGAGACAGCATATACAGTTTCCAGGAAAAAATCGTCGACATGGTCAACTGACTGGAAAGAGACAAAAGGACATGGCGTAGGATTTTGACCTGGAATAAGTAAACAACTGCTGTAAAAGTGACTGCAGAGCTCAATCTTAGTCCCGTGAAGACTGAGATTGAACTCTGCTGTCACTTTTGCAGCACTTGTTTCCATTTTTTGTCTAACCCGTGTGTGTGTGTGTGTGTGTGTGTGTGTGTGTGTGTGTGTGTGTGTATGTATATATATCTCAAAGTGTCAGAAAAAGTAAAAATAAGTATTCAAAAGAAATAGCTCATCAAAAACATTATTAACTTACCTTTCCCAGATAGTACTGTGATAAAGTGGCTGCATTGATTGCCCCATTCCACTGGGTTGTAGCCATCATATTCCAGCTGCCTCTGCAGTGTTGTATGACAGTACTGAGCCGCCTTCTCATCCTGCTTCAAATGTTTGTAGACTTGCGCTAGATAGTACATTGTATGGGTGTACACACGCTCAAACCTGAAAATTTTAAAGAGTTAACTACTAATTGGTAAGGAGGATCTAAGGGTGTATATATTGATATAGTAGCATATTCTGCAAAATCTCCTGAAGAAGCCAAATAGATAAAAAATGGCCAGGGTTGTTTAATGTCATTAAAACTTATGTGAGTAAATAAATCTTAATTATACATTGAGATCTAAAATATTGTGCTCTTATCATGCGTTTACAGAGACAATTCCTTATTTTGGTCTCTGAGTTCATATTGGTGTGTAGATACTCCCGGGGGATGGGGGTAGGACTTTAAAAACCAAAAAAGAAGTAAGATTTGCTATATAGTGTAGTAAGATCCCAGTCTTTCATTGTTTCACTTGCTCTCCTCTCAATAATAAGTGTTAATAAAGTTGCAGGGAAAAAAAAATTATTTTTCAGTTACTAGTCCTGCATAATTTTGGAAAGCATTTTTATCTTGCAGCATGTAGTTCACTTTTAGCCTGTAGGCATTAGGCCTGGGTGCAAAGAATAATGTTTGGATGATCCCTACTCCAGCATGTGCTAGTTATTTTTCTCTATGACCAAGCCTGCAACAGAGCAGGTAAGAGAAGGACTGGGCATGGCAAAAAAAGGCAGCTAAATATCCTTGTATCTGATGTCTATTTTTTTTTTACATTTTTTGTTGTGAAGGCAAGTGGGGGAAGAATAAGAGATTTTACATATAATATAATTTACTCTTTAAAAAACAAACCTCATGGGAAGGAGACCTGAATGTCACTTATGACCTATCCGATTGGCAAGATATCGCTCTTGCATTATCTAAAGTTTCCATCAACACAACTCTAATTGGAGCAAACTACAAAACGTTATTAAGATGGTGTCATACAATAGTGCCCGCGCATATATCTCTATAACCTCATATATAAATTAAAGCACCCAAACCATGTGATTATGCAACAATAGAAAATACACTGAATACAGCCTAAGAGTCCATAATGTGTGCTTGATTCGTGCGTTTATAATTTGTTCCCAAACCATTAGGATGGTACTTGGTCCCTACTCAGACTGCGAGGATGCATCCATCTGCCTCACCGATGTGCTTCCAGTGTTGTGGCCAGATGGGTTCTATGTATCACATCTGGTGGCAATATCCGATAGCAACCACATTTTGGATCCACATGTTTAATTTCATTTATTCGGTGATGGGGGGTGAATATTCACACATCTCTGGAGACGGCCCTCTTTCATAAATCCCCGAATACTGCTCCCAGAAAGTTCCCTACCTATATGCCGTTGGCAGCGAGAATTCCCATAGCTAGACATTGGAGGCAATCGGTCATCCCGTTTGACTATGTTAAGAATAAACTGAATTGGATTATGATGAACGACAGACTCACCTATATTCTACACAATACTAGAAAATGTGATACAACATGAGACGCGTGGATTCAATATATTTTGCGTGCCTTAATGTCTCCTGACTTGACGCTATCTTTTTTATATTCCCTTTTCTTTATTATTATTTATTTATTTCAGGTACTTATACAGCGCCGTCAATTTACGTAGCACTTTACATACATATATTGTACATTCACATCAGTCCCTAACCCTCAAGGGGCGTACAATCTAAGGTCCCTAACTCACATTCATACATACACATACTAGGGCCAATTTAGACAGAAGTCAATGAACCTACCTGCATGTCTTTATTCTTTATCATTCCTTTTTCTGTCCTGTTGGGCTGGTTATGCCTAATTCCTATATGTTCTACAACATTTGTCATGCCTCAAATGACACTTACTCTGTGTGTAATCTCAGGTCCACAAACAGTGGTTCTTCCCCTTCCATTAAGTCCCCTAACTCCCCCCCCCCCCCCCCCTGTTCCCTTTCCAGCTTCCCTCCCTCCGCCACTTTGTCCGTCCCCTATATATGGTTAGATAAAATGATGTGGACTGTTTATTTGGATTATCCAATAGCTACTCTACATAGTCCCTAGTTTCCTGTTACGTGCCCAGGGGCGGACTGACAACTCATGGGGCCCCCGGGCAATAGGGGATCATGGGGCCCCCGAGTCCTTGACCAAACTGAAAAAAGCCTATGAAAAAGGTACCAGGGGCATCTCATGGGGCCCCCTACTGACCCCCCCGGGCCCTCAGGCAGTGCCCGAGTTTCCAAATGGTCGGTCCGCCCCTGTACGTGTCTTATGTCTCATAAACCATGTTCTTTGTGTTGTATCGAAAACGACTCATTGTGACATGACGATTGTTTACTTGTTCTCGTATTTCAAAAACTGTTCCATAAAAACTATTGGAATATAAAAAAACAAACCTCTTTGATCTTTCCTGGTCAGTGAGTTTCTGCTCCTCAGGTGTAAAATGTTCATCTGGATCCACTGGGGGCTTGCCAATCTGAAAAATAAATGTTGTTTCTACACAGAAAATAAAAAATGAGAATAAAATAACGTATGACCAGTTTAAGAAAGAGGTTTTGAAAATATTCAAGCAAACCTACTTGGTAGGTTAAGTATAAGCAAGGAATAATAAAATGGTAAGAAAATGTACTTCTTCCCCGGGGGTAGAAAAATGCTTTATTGACACAAAATTTTCTTTTTTCCCCCCCCCCCCCATTATTTTGTGCCGCACACCCCCATTATGACACCAACAAAACCCAAAGAATAGTTACAGTAGTATAAGCATTCTAGGTTCAACAATGACCTGACATCACTAGAAAGGCAAGCAATTTAGAAGACAGGGACTTACTTTTTTCATATACTGACAGTACAAAGACTCAGCAGATTCCAGGTATCTCTGTCCAATCATGATCTCCCCTCTCTCAGCCCAGAGAATTCCAAGATTATTCTGGAAAACAGAAAAACATCTGAAGATTACAGCACTTGTTGTAGAATTACAAAAAGATACAAATTATCCACCAGATTAGTCTTCACCATGGCATATAAAAAGGACAAAATGCTACAAGGTGATTGTATTAAATAGCTGTTGAAGTAAAAAAAAACATTAAAGAAACATCAGCTCAACATTCTAACTTAACCACTTGCCCTCTGGAAGGTTTTACTCCCTTCATAACCTGGGCATTTTTTTCATATTCAGCACTGCCCTACTTTACCTGGCAATTGCTCGATCATACGACACTGTACACAAATGAAATTTATACCATTTTTTTCACACAAATAGAGATTTCTTTTGGTGGTATTTGATCACCACTGGGTTTTTCATTTTTATTGTATAAAATGAAAAAAAAAGACAGAAAATGTTGAGGGAAAAAAAGCTATATTTACTGTTATGAAACATTTCCAATTAAAAATAAATAAATCAACATTTCTTCATAAAATTTAGGACAAAATGTAGTCTGCTACATGTCTTTGGTAAAAAGAAATCCCATCAGAGTATAATATATTTGGTTTGTGCAAAAGTTACAGCATCTACAAACTAAGGTATATATATATATATATATATATATATATATATATACAGTCAGGTCCATAAATATTGGGACATTGACACAATTCTAACATTTTTGGCTCTAGACACCACCACAATGGATTTGAAATGAAAAAAAAAAACAAGATGTGCTTTAACTGCAGACTGTCAGCTTTAATTTGAGGGTATTTACATCCAAATCAGGTGAACGGTGTAGGAATTACAACAGTTTGCATATGTGCCTCCCACTTGTTAAGGGACCAAAAGTAATGGGACAATTGGCTTCTCAGCTGTTCCATGGCCAGGTGTGTGTTATTCCCTCATTATCCCAATTACAATGAGCAGATAAAAGGTCCAGAGTTCATTTCAAGTGTGCTATTTGCATTTGGAATCTGTTGCTGTCAACTCTCAAGATGAGATCCAAAGAGCTGTCACTATCAGTGAAGCAAGCCATCATTAGGCTAGAAAAAAACAAAAAAAACAAAACAAACCCATCAGAGAGATAGCAAAAACATTAGGCGTGGCCAAAACAACTGTTTGGAACATTCTTAAAAAGAAGGAACGCACCGGTGAGCTCACCAACACCAAAAGACCCGGAAGACCACGGAAAACAACTGTGGTGGTTGACCAAAGAATTCTTTCCCTGGTGAAGAAAACACCCTTCACAACAGTTGGCCAGATCAAGAACACTCTCCAGGAGGTAGGTGTATGTGTGTCAAAGTCAACAATCAAGAGAAGACTTTTTCCAGGGTCCTTTTCTAACCTCCTGGATGAGTGATCGTTGTGCTTTTGGAGTAATTTTGGTAGGCCGGCCACTCTTGGGAAGCTTCACGACTGTTCTAAGTTTTCTCCATTTGTGGATAATGGCTCTCACCATGGTTCACTGGAGTCTTTGTAACCCTTTCCAGATTGATACATGACATTTCCTTTGTTCCTCATCTGTTCTTGAATTTCTTTAGATCCCGGTATGATGTGTTCCTTTTTTACATCTTTTAAGTTATTTTTTGATTCAACAGGTCTGGCAGCAATCTGGTCATGGTGTGGCAAGTGAAATTTAACCAGGCTTTCCAAAAAATGTGGTTAATCACAGTTCATTCATGATTTAGCAAGTTGGGGGGGGGGGGGCAATTACTATTTCACATAGAGCCAGGCAGGTTTTGGACAGCTTTGTTCCCTAATTAATAAAATCATCATTTACAAGCTGCATTTTGTATTTACTTGGTTTATCTTTGTGTAATATTAAAATTTGTTTGATGATATGAACCTTTTAAGTGTGACAAATATGCAAAAAACAAAAATTAGGAGGGGGCAAATACTTTTCACGTTTGCGCATATGTGTCACTGTGCCTGCCCAAGTGGACCCGCCACAGTAACGGGCAGTCTGGATGCATTTCTGCATGCGCATTTTTTATGCGTTCCAGTGCAGTTTTTTTATGCGTTACAGATGATATTTTTCCTCCTTTTTAAGGGTCATTTGGGGTCCAGTGTGTTTTTGATGCATTTTACCACATTCCAGTACAGTTCTGTGCATGAAAAATGCAGCATGTTATACTTTTTTTTTCTGGAACCGAAACGCACTGGAACTGCAAGAACTGGTGTGAACCATGCCATTGAAAACCATGTAACATACTTTTTGTACGTTTTGGATGCAGAAAAAAAACAAAAAAAAAAAAAACCAAAAACACAGTGGAAGACAAGTAGTGTGAACCAACCCTAAATGTACAGCAGTGGAGCGCCATGCGGTTAAAGAATATGTAAACCCAACATTTTATATTCCTGACACGTGCCTGCTGTACCATGTACTTGTATGAAAAAGTATCCTGTTCTCTTCGTGTTGCTTCTGTTGTGTGAAATCCCTGGGGTTCCTGCCAGCCCCTCTACTTTCCTGTTAAAAACTGATCATACTAGGCAGGAGAGCACAGCATGGTCAGTTCTCTTGATGTGCTGGGAACTCAGCCTGCTCTCCAATGATCAAAATTTGACATCCCTCCTCCCTCAGCCATTCACTGGGAAGATCAGTGTGCTGCTCTTTATCCTTCAGCTCTCTGTTCTCAGCTGCATGAGGAGCTTAGAGGGAATGTGATCAATTATACAAGAAGGCAAAAAAAAAAAAAAAAAAAAAAAAAAAAAAGTATTTATAATGTTTTTTATATCTATACACAAATGTTTTGCATTTCATTTCTATTTTAAACTGTAAGGGCTGTTTTATAAGGTGAGGGTTTATATATACACTTTAAAGTACACTTATGCCACTGAAATATTTACACAATCCTTAAAACACAATAATGTGCAGCATTTTGATTTATTGTTGGTGTTTAACACTTTATGTGTACAGCTCATTATTATTGACAGGAGCAAGATTGTAATTGTACAGACTGGGCCAATCACAGCCCATCTGTACCATGTGATCAGCTATGGCCAATCACAGCTGATCACGACAAAAACTACTAAATGAATCAGTTTCATTCAGTGAAAATGCTTGCTTATTCCAATAAAATTAGTTGGTATAAGCAATCATAATGTGTAAAAAAAAAAAATCCTGATCACTTGCCCAGAGTAGTGCAATGTTACTACAGTAACACTGTTCTGCTCTGGTCACAGGAGTAGAAAAAAAAAATCATAAAATTTTTTAAAAAGTAATAAAAAAAATTAAAAGAGGAATTAAACAAAATTCTGAAAATTGTTATTTTTTTTAACATACTGTCGCCAGTCAGTGTCACTGATCACTGCTGCACCAGTTATATGATGCTGTACTGCATTGGTGTATTAAAAAAAAAAAAAAAAAAAAACACCCTGAAACTTTTTTCCCCCCATTTCTTCATTTTTCCACAAAATTATGCTAAAAAAATTACTAACTTCAAAAAAACTCTCCATGCCTCTTATTAAAGACCTCAGGCTGTCTACTTTCCTGAAAGCGGTCATTTTGGGGGGGTGTTTTTACTCTCCTGGCGTTTTCGGGCCTCAAGACATTAGATCAACCATCAGTACATCAGGATTTCTCAGTTTTGTAGATACTGTATATACCATGGTTTGTGGACTCTAATCCTACCAACTAAATAATAAACACTGGTTTGGATTATCTCACCAAAGACATGTAGCAGAATACATTTTGCTCAAAATTTGTGCAGAAAGATTATTTATTTGCAAAATGTTATAACAGAAACAAGGAAAAGGGCATTTTTTTTCATTTTCGGTCTTTTTTTCATTTATAGAGCAAAAAATAAAAAACCGAGTAATGATTACATACCACCAACAGAAATCTATTTGTGTGAAATAAATTATACAAATTTTCTATGTGTACAGTGTTGCATGACCGCGCAATTGTCATGAAAAGTGCAACAGTGCTGAAAGGTGGAAATTGGTCTGGACAGGAAGGGGGTATAAGTGCCCGGTAAGCAAGTGGTGAAAACAAACAATTACTGACCCTCTCTAGCCGCATGTACTCTGAAGTAATTCAGTCTCAAAGATCACAACAGAGACTCCGAAGTCAGGTTTCGGTGTGCTTCTAACACACACCTGAGCCTGGATGTAGGTGGAGACAATTCTACACAGTGCACGCACCTGAGTCTGAATGTAGACGGTGACAATTCTACACAGTGCACGCACCTGAGTCTGAATGTAGACGGTGACAATTCTACACAGTGCACGCACCTGAGTCTGAATGTAGACGGTGACAATTCTACAAACAGTCTGCACGACATTCTGAGTCTGAGCCTGTGAGGGAGGAGACAATTCTACACAGTGCACGCACCTGAGTCTGGATGTAGGACGGTGACAATTCTACACAGTGCACGCAGCTGAGCCTGGATGTAGGCGGAGACAATTCTACACAGTGCACGCAGCTGAGCCTGGATGTAGGCGGAGACAATTCTACACAGTGCACGCAGCTGAGCCTGGATGTAGGCGGAGACAATTCTACAAAGTGCACGCAGCTGAGCCTGGATGTAGGCGGAGACAATTCTACACAGTGCACGCAGCTGAGCCTGGATGTAGGCGGAGACAATTCTACACAGTGCACGCAGCTAAGCCTGGATGTAGGCAGAGACAATTCTACACATTGCAACGCAGCTGAGCCTGGATGTAGGCAGAGACAATTCTACACAGTGCACGCAGCTAAGCCTGGATTGTAGGTGGAGACAATTTTACACAGTGCAATGCACCTGAGCCTGGAATGCAGGACGGAGACAATTCTACACTGTGCACGCCTGAGCCTGAATGTGGCGGAGACAATGCTACACAGTACGCGCCTGGATGTGGGGGGGACAAATTTTACACAGTGCATGCAGCGGAGCCTGAATGCAGGCGGAGACAATTCTACACAGTGTACGCGCCTGAGCCTGAATGTGGTGGAGACAATGCTACACAGTGCACGCGCCTGAGCCTGGATGTGGGCGGGGACAATGCTACACAGTGCACGCGCCTGAGCCTGGATGTAGGCGGGGACAATTCTACAGAGTGCACGCACCTGAGCCTGGATGTAGGCGGAGACAATTGCTACACAGTGCACGCGCCTGAGCCTGGATGTGGGTGGAGACAATGCTACACAGTGCACACGCCTGAGCCTGGATGTAGGCGGAGACAATTCTACAGAGTGCACGCACCTGAGCCTGGATGTGGGCGGAGACAATGCTACAGAGTGCACGCACCTGAGCCTGGATGTAGGTGGAGACACAGTCATGTGACAGGCGGTGTTTCTCCAGGAAGCGGGTCCCCTTCACTAGGTGCTCCTCCCCGGCAGACATCTCCTCGGTCTCGGTGTGGTTCACCCCCAGGCGGAATTCAATGACGGCCCGGCGTGCAGCCAGGATCCCCTGTGTATCCTCATCCTGTGCTCCGTCATCCTGCCGCTCCCCGCTCTCCTCCTCCGCCCCCAGCAGAGCCCGCACCTCCCGCAGGAGCTCCCGGGCCCGGTACTTGGAGCGGTAAGGCTCGGTCTCCGGATCGTCTTTGGACTCCATCTCGGAGGCGGTGATTGCCCTCTGGTACGTATCACACACTCGGCGCCAGTAATCTGCCATCTTGCTGTATTGAAGTGACGTCCGCGGAATACGGTATAGCCTCAAAGAGATCTCCTGCCGGCACTGCGCATGCGCGGCTTCTTTCCCATCCCCCCACCTATTGATCGTGTTGGAGCTGAGCGGCGCGAGGGATTAACCCCGCACCTGCCGGGCAATATTATCTGTGGACGGAGGTTCATCCCTTCCTCCCCCCCGCCTGCCTGCGCTCCCCGCTCCCTGCGCCTCCCCGCCTGCGCTCCCACTGCCCACCTGCCTGCGCTCCCCACTCTGCACTCCCCGCTCTGCGCCTGCCTGCGCTCCCCACTCTGCTCTTTTATGTCAATAAATATTTTGTAACCTCTCTGCTTCTGTTTAATTGTGATGCTATTGGCCATGGCTGGGAAAGAAGAAGATCCCTCTGTGTGTGTTCTTCCTGGACCTTAGGTTCACACTTACCCCTGGTTCACATTTGTGCGGGCTGTGATTTGCACATTTGTGTTCATTTGAATGGACTCCTGTGTCCCGGGACACATAGGGAAGAAGTCCCTGCACCAGTGGCATTCTGAGACGGAAGCGCGAGGGCGGGGGGGGGGGGGGGGGGGGGGGGGGGGGGGGGGGGGGGGGGATGCATGCAGCACCTGATGACTCTGGACCTGCTCCATGAAAAGGTAAGTTGTAAATTAAGTCGACGATCCCCGCAGGATGGATCGGATCTGTGGACTGGCGAGCATAATGGATCGGAGTCCGATCCAATATGCTCAATCCGCAGATCCAATCCATTCTGTGGGGATCGTCGGAGGGGGTGTCCCCTAGTGTTATCGCACCGGGTGACACCAACCCTAAGGACGCCTCTGCCCTGCACTACTTGGGAAATCGCAGCCCGCAGGGAAAACCCAGTACGGTTGTGATTTCCATTGCAGGTAGCATGACATTAGAATTACTGACACCCGCGGGTCCCGCATTCCTCTGTGTGGGTGGAGCGGCTGCAGACATTTGTGCGGGTCTCACAGCAGCACCACCCACACAGATGTGAACCAGGGGTTATGTGGATTTCAGTGCGCTTTTCCAGTTTGCAGAAACGCACTACAGTTCATATAACATGGTTTCCTATGGATCTAGTTCACATCTGAGCTGGTGCAGATTTTTGAAAGGGTCAGGGACTTTTTTTTTTCCCCACAGCAGATTGTATTTTGTGTGTAATATAAGGCTGGTTATACACTATACAATTTTCTTGAGAATTTTGCTTTAGATTTACCAAAAACCATATAAGAGGTCAAACCTAAACAACACTTTCTATTGCATCCAATTAGGCAGGGCCTTGCACTACACAGTTGAAGGTAAATAAAGGAAAATGGGCAGAAATTGGACAGAAAATTGGAAGAAAATTGTATATAGTGTACGGCCTGCCTTCTTACCTGTAAAAAATAAATCAATATTAGCCTTCAATGGAACCAAACCAAAAACACAAGTATTTTTTATGCATTTTGCATGTTGTGTTTTGTGTGACATTGAGCTTGTTTAAGATATTTTTATAGCAAAAAGTAAAAAATATTGGTGGGTTTTTTTCAAAATTGTTGGTCTTTTTGTTTATAGCGCAAAAAAATAAAAACCGCAGAGGTGATCAAATACCACCAAATGAAAGCTGTATTTGTAGGAAAAAAATGACAAATTTAATTTATGTATGGTGTTGCATGACTGTGCAATTGTCAGTTAAATTAATGCAATGCTGTATTGCAAAAAATGGCCTGGTTAGGAACACAGGTCTGACACAGTATTGTTCTTGGCATGTGTAACCTCGATATTGCACCCATAATCCCCATGTAGAAAAAAAATTATACCCAAAATCTTTTCAGAAACAGGTTTAATATGTTCCCTGTAAATGTAAGCATGAGATTTCCCTCATTAACCCTCATATATAAAAGTAATTTTATCCATATGTTTATCAGAAACAGGTCAAGTGTATTTTTTGGAATGTGTAATTATGATATTCCCACATAATCCCCTTGTAGAAAAATAATTTCACCCATATTCCTACCAGAAAACAGTTCCTAGGAATGTGTAATCATTATATTCAATGAATAATTCTCTTGAAAAATATTTTTAAGCATATTTTTATCAGAAATTGGTCTAATATACAGTATATTCCCTGATAAGTGTAACCATGATATTCCATCCATAATCCCAATGAAGAACAATAATTATGTCAATATTCCTGTCAGAAACAGGTCAAATGCATTACATAGGATGTGCATCCATGACATTCCACCAAATAATCCCTCTGTAGAAAAATGATGCCCATGTTCTTCTCAGAAAAAGGTCAAATATGGTCCCTTGGCATGTGTGTTCACAATATTTCATCCATAATCCACATGTAGAAAAATAACTATACCATAATCGTTTCAGAAACAGGTCAAATATGGTCCTTGGCATTTGTATCCACAATGTTTTTTCCCATAATCCCCATGTAGAGAAAACTATTCTCGCCAGAAGCAAGTCAAATATGGTCCTTGGCAAGTGTATCCACAATAATCCACCCATAATCCCCATGTAGGAAAATAAATCATCTCATATTCTTATCAGAATCATGCCAAATGTGTTCCTAGGCATGTTTAACCATGACATTCCACCCATAATCTGCATTTAGAAAAAATAGCTATACCCATATTCTTATCAGAAACAAATCAAATATGGTCCTAGGCATGTTTAACCAAGAAATTCCACCGGCAATCCCCATGTAGAAAAATATCTGTACCTATATTCTTATCAAAAAACAAGTCAAATATGGTCCTTGGCATATGTTTCCGCAATATTTCACCCACAATTCCCATGTAGGAAAATAACTATTCTTATCAGAAACAAGTCAAATGTGTTCCTAGGAATGTTTAACCACAATAATCCGCCCATAATTCCCATGTAAAAAAAAATAACTATTCTTATCAGAAACAGGTAAATTGGGTTCCTAGGCATATTTAACCATGATATTCCACCTATAATCCCCATGTGAAAAAAAACTTATTCTTAGAAACAGGTAAAAAAAAAGTGCTTTTACATGTGTATGCACAATAATCCTCTCATAACCCCATGACAAGTATTCGCATATTCTTATCAGAAAAATTTCAAATGTTTTCCTAGGCATGATTAACCATGATATTCCACCAATAATCCCTTTGTAGAAAAATAACTATACCTGTATTCTTATCAGATACAGGTCAAGTGCATTACATGGTATGTGTAACAATGATATTCCATCTATAATCCCCATGTGGAAAAATAATTATACTCATGTTCTTCCCAGAAACAGGTTACATATACTGCTCAAAAAAAATTAAAGGAACACTTTGAAAACACATCAGATCTCAATGGGGAAAATATCATGCAGGATAGCTACACTGCTATGCACTGGGTAATGTGTTAGGAACATAAGGATGGTCAAATATGGTTCTTGGCATGTGTATCCACAATATTCCAACCATAATCCCCATGTAGAAAAATAACTATTCTTATATTCCTATCAGAAACAAGTTAGATCTGTTCCTGGGCATGTTTAACCACAATGATCCACCCATAATCTCCATGTAGAAAAATAACTCTATTCTCATATTCTTATCAGAAAAATGTAAAATGTGTTCCTAGACATGTTTAACCATGATATTCCACCCATAAATCCCATGTAGAAAAATAAGTATACCCATATTCTTATCAGAAACAGTTCACTTATAGTTCTTGGCATGTGTATCCACAATAATCACCCACAATCCCATGTAGAAGAATTAACTATTTCTTATCAGAAATAAATCGAATGTGTTAGGCATGTTTAACCATGATATTCCACCCATAATCCCCATGTAGAACAATAACTGTTTTTATCAGAAATAAGTAAAATGTGTTCCTGGCATGTTTAACCACAATAAATCCACCCATAATCTCCCATGTAGAAAAATAACTATTACCCATAATCTTTTTTAGAAACATGTCAAATATGGTCCTTGGCATGTGTATCTACAATACTCCACCCATAATCCCCATGTAGAAAAAACTAATTATACCCATATTCCTATCAGAAACAGTTGAAATATGGTCCTCGGCATGTGTATCCACGAATACTCCACCATAATCCCCATGTAGAAAAACAATATTATACCCCATATTCTTATCAAAAACAGGTCAAAAATGGCATGTGTATCCACAATACTCCACCCAAAATATGTAGAAAAAAACAATTATACCCATATTCCTATTAAACAGTGGGTTGAAATATTGATCCTTGGCATGTGTATCCACAATACTCCACCCATAATCCCCATTGTAGAAAAATAATTATACCCCATATTCCGTTCAGAGACAGGTCAAAGTGGGTATTGGCATGTGTATCCACAATACTCCACCCATAATCCCCATGTAGAAAAACAATTATCCAATATTCCTATCAGAAACAGGAAATTGGTCCTTGGCATGTGTATCCACAATACTCCACCCATAATCCCCATGTAGAAAAACAATTATACTCATATTCTTATCAAAAAACAGGTCAAATATGGTCCTTGGCATGTGTGTATCCACAATCTTGTGAAAGTGTATACTAGTGAGCTACTATGGTGGCACAGAAATCCTAGTAAAAAATTAATTAACTCCTTCAAATATAATGGTGCATCAACACATAAAACACATACTCAAAATACTGTGTGACAATAAACAAATAAAATATTGGATGTGTCGCGCTCCTCAAAAAGAATATTTTCTAGTGATGTGTGATATATATAAAATAAATAAACCTAAATAAATATTACATAAATATTTTACATTGTGATGTAACATATATTTAAAAAAACTCCCAGTGCTATATTAATTGAATGGTGATTAAAAAAAAATTTTCTGTGCAAAAAAATATTAATTTGTATGACATAAAAAATGTGCAAAGAAACCCTCCTTGCGCCGTGATATGTGTGTGCAAATATAAATAT